TTTATTTTCACTAGCTTCCCTTCAATTTGAAGAGTCAGACTTATTTTCTAAACTAAATTGTTAATTTAAAGAGTCTATTGAAGCATAATTTTAAAGTGACTCTTTAGATAGAGATCATTTTAATTTAAAAAGTCTCTTGAAAATACCCTTAGGCATAGATGGATCCACATGGGGTCATGTGGTTCCAAATGACCCCACAATTATTATTATTATTATTATTATTATTATTATTATTATTATTATTATTATTATTTTAAAATCTATAGTTGTTTCCTTCAAGACTTACTTTGATGAGTTCATTATAGGATGTCAAACGAAGTTGAAATATTGCATTACTAATATAATTTCGAAGTGTTCACAGTCTAGTTTTTCACTTGTGAATGGCACGTGAAACAGCCAACCAACAGCAAAAGGTACAATGCATTAAAGTTAGCCATTCCAAACTAATATTTAAAGAATTTGGATAATATGCTAATTTTAAAAATTCGTCTATGATTGTACTCTAGCCGAATCCACAAATCCCCTACGTCATTTAGTTGTGAGTAAATCAAGTTGTAGTCTATGCCTTTTGATAAGTCAATACACTATTGCAAATGTAGTCTACGTCTGAAAATTGCCCTCTCCAGAACAATAATACTAGGATTTATTTTTTGAGTTCTCTTTCTTTGATTCATTTGGACCGTGCACCAAACTTGGATTCCTTGAACAAACTTAAGTGGACCTCACGACAACTCTTTCCTTTAAATGAAATTAAAAAAACTGAGAGTTGTGGCTCACATGGATTCTACACCTTACGTACGGTGGCTTGCTAAACAACAAAGCATCAAAACGGATGTGGCGTATCAGTACCACTATATAAACTTGTTATTGCCTATGCATATAAAGTAGATTTCCTGCTAGAAGAGGCATTGGTTGTGCTAGTTCCAAATCTCCAGTTTACCATTTGAGTTGCTCGATTTCCAGTTGACGATACGATTCATAACCAAATGACTCTGAACGTATCTCTGCTTTCTAACTGAGACTTTTATGAATCAGCCAATATGTATGTTCTTCTATATCTGCTAGTTGATCTCTATTTCATCTGCAAACTTGAACACCACTCATTAGTTGATTCACTACTGATGCAGGACTGGTCATGAATTCATGGAGCTAGTGTGGGAAAATGGAGAGGTTCTTATCCGATGTCCATCGTCCTCTACAAGAGATGCTCAACTAAGTCCATCTTCAGCCAAATGTTCCTCTCTCACTAAGATGAAGAGGAAAGATGGAGAAGGGAATACTACAGACAACTCCAAAAATTCAAATTCCAATTCCAAAACACTTTATTCGACATCCTCTCTTAACGAATGTTTTGAATCATATGAGACCAATCAATCGAATCCTCCTTCAGTACACAGAAGTTGCTTCAGCATAAAAAAGAACGGTGAGAATATTATGGAATCTCGTTTAATATTCTCAAAACTAGACAATGCTATTGGGAGTACAAGCAAATTTGCCAAGGGAGAGTCTCAGCCTCTGACTGAATGTGGCTGTGTCAACTCTCTGTTACGAGATCCAGGTAAGGGTACCAGAACATTGAAAAATTGTTTAAACAGCTTAGAGGTAATGACAGATGGATCACCAATCACAAACACACGAGAGCTAAAGGGTTCAGAAAACAATAAGAAGATGGATGTAACCAGCTTCTCTCGTTTCTTAAGGCCTGAAGTTAATCATTCAGGATCAGGACTCAGTGCACCAGTATCTCCAGCTAGTCGAGGAGACTTATTGTGCGCTGAAAAGTCAATAAATGAAGAATTTAAGGTTTCTACATCACATGGTAGCTGCTTGCTGGTTGAATCGACAATGATCAATTGCACTCGTGGTCAATCTGCTTTGCTGGTTGCCCCAATAGATTCAAAACCATTTGATTCCAAAAGCAATTCGCACCCAGATCAGCAATCTATTGTCGTTGGGTGTCTTGAAGAATCTTTAAAATTCTCACAAGGATCGAATAATCCATATACAGCTGCCAGGAGAAATTATCAGCAAACTAGAGATCAGTCGGAATATCTAAGTGATGTAAGTACACAAGAAAAAAGATACTCTCAATTCCCCTTTAAGTTATTCTATGTCGTTAATTTTATCACCTATCACAATGTACAAGATGAACTTATACTACAGGGTGATAATCAGTCTGAGAATGTCAATAAATCAGCACCTGCACGAGGAAAAACTGCTGTTAAAAGAAAACGAATAGCCGAAGTTCATAGACTGTCTGAAAAGGTGAGTAAGTTAAGGTCATCAAACACAGTACACACCTCAAAGAGAAAAAGGCTCGTGTTGTCAATAAAATTCAATGTATTCATCTAAACTGCGGATGTATTGAACAGAAGCGTAGAAATGAAATCAACAAGAGACTGCGGACCCTGCAAGAGCTCATACCAAATTGCCGTAAGGTCTGAAATTCATAAATATGTGTAGTTTAATAAAACGTCAACAGTCTGAATAAATTTTAACCAATTTCTGTGCTGTGATTGTTCATACAGGTGGATAAATCATCTGTGCTAGAAGAAGCTATTGAGTATCTGAAAACTCTTCAGCTTCAATTACTGGTAAATTTACCGAAATCCTATTCCATTCTATTATTTTGCTTTTCATAGTAACTGGAAGGCACCATGGTTATCCAGATGATGTCAGTCTCGGCTGGACCGTACATGCCCCATCCAATGATGTTACCAGCTGGACTGATGCAGCAGTTACACACTCCAAGTTTGGAAAACTGCCCTACAATAGATGCTGCAAGGGCATCGAGGATGGGAATGGGCGCCGGATGCAGCAGTGCATTACAGTTTCCTACTTCACCCATATCTGGAGCTGTTGCTATGAATTTCAGAGAGACTATTAATCATCAAATGCTAGGTGTTCCCAGTTCAGTGTCGCCCGTGCCTATGACAATACTCCCACCCCTCGTACATTCACTCAAAAGATTTTCTGCACGATCAATGGCAAATACCACTGAGAATATGAAAAACCCAGTAGATATGGGTTTTAATGTTCCACAAAATGTCAACAACTGAAATGAACTCTAAGATGCAAACATCCATTGCTTGAATTACAGTAAAAGTCTAGATTTGGTGTTGATCATTGATCCTGCTTTGATTTTATAGGGAAGAAATTCTAATTTGAAATCCATATTCAAATGATATATCCATTAAATAATCCTTCAGCTGCTTGAAAAATCTGCTCAAGAATAGCATGGTTAGTGACTGAGGTAACACCAGTAAATTTAATTCTGCATCCCATCAGAGACTACACCTAGAAATCGACCAGCAAAAGCTATATGTTACTCAATCTGAGCACTCGATGCAAGAATGAGACGGAAATCTAACCATTCGAATTTCTATCAGATTCCACATAGTGTAGACTCATCCCCGGATTCTGGTTCTTCGAGATGATGATCTCATTATAGTAAATAAAATAGTTAGCAATATTCTACGATCTAAAATCCAACTGCAAAGGCGGGAGCCAAGAATGAATTGATTCAAGAGATAGGTAGAATTCAGCAGCATCAGCGCCTACTTTGTTACTGCAATCTTTCAAACTACCAAGTCATAATACAGCCTCAAGCAGGCTTATGTCCATAAAACGCTAATACTGGCAACTGCATTCTTCTTCTTTTATCCTTCATTTATTTAGTTTTTCCACTATATATAATCCTTCTAACTATAGCATCACGCATTGAACACGCTAATGTTTCTTTTGACATTCATATTTTTTATTGGATGGTCGATTGGATTTCTGTTCAGCCACCCCACAACAAAAACAATAGCCCAATTTTCGCTATTATTTTTGAATGGAGAATACAGAAAATTTTACAAATTTGAAATACAAGCTTCATATAGAGACTTCTATGCTCCAAAGGAAAAAGAAAAAAACTCAAAATTTAGCTTCTCTTGCAGAAAGTAATGCAGACAGCTTCCAAAGTTGAAATGAAAAGTAGGAGTTCAGAACTCATGAATGTTAAGTACATAACATTAGCACTTCATTACAGGCACTAAATTCCAACAACAATATCCTGATTGGTTTCTTGTCGAACCCTAATTGGAACGCCGAAACAGAGATTGTTCAGACTTCATAAGCATGGTCAAGGTGAGGGAATGATATATTGATCCAGCATACACCACTCTATCGTCATCTCTGATAAGAGAATTTCCAGAACTTCTATGATTTTTTTAAACTCCGGGTGTGATGTATCCCTAGCTTTAAATATATGAGTATGATTACAGATCTGAATCCAGCTCTTTCCAGGTTTCTTAATCAAGCCCTTCTCTTTCATCAATGTTCTGAACCTTGAAGAATCTTCCCATCTCTTCATAGATGCATATATGTTGGACAAGAGGATATGGTATCCAGAATCTTCCAGCTTATCATCAACAATTTGCGATGCAAGAAGATCAACAAGCTCCACCTTGTCATGAACTCTACAAGCAGCAAGCAAGCTTCCCAAAACGTATCCATTAGGTTCCTCAGGCATCCTTTTGATGAAGTTGCATGCATCAGCAATATTTCCTGCTCTACCAAGAAGGTCTACCATGCACGAATAGTGTTCCATGTTGGGCAGCATACCATAATCGTTAATCATGGAAGTGTAGAGAGACCAACCCTTTCGAATTAATCCTGCATGACTACATGCAGATAGGAGTCCTACAAAAGTCACTTCAGTTGGCTTAATTGCTAGAGATTTCATTTGATCAAAGAGAACCAAAGCTTGCTTTCCACATCCATGAATCCCATAAGCAGAAATAATTGTGTTATAAGAAATTACATTCCTTTCCATCATGTGATCAAAGACCTTCACTCCCAGCTCTAGGCATCCACATTTACAGTACATATCTATAAGGGAATTGCGGACAGAAACGACCATAAGACCATTCCTAATTGCATGGCAATGAACCACCTTGCCTTGTCCAAGTACCCCCATTTTGGCACACAATGGAAGAACGCTCATCAGGGTTATTGAATTTGGCTTACATTCAGATTCCCAAATCTTACGGAATATCCTGAAAGCCGAATCAATATTTTCAGTAGAAGCACATCCAGCTATCATTGAATTCCATACCATGATGTCCCGATCTGACATGATGCCGAACATCATCTCAGCTTCTCTAATCAAACTACAATTAGCATACATGTCAATCAGTGCACTCCCCACGACAACATCAATATCAAATCGTTGCTTGAGGATATACCCATGCATCTCTTTTCCCTGTTTCGACAAATTAAGCTTTCCAAGCACAGAAAGGACACTTGCTGTAGTAACTGCATTAGGTTTTACACCCAAGTTCTTCATCTCAAAATACAGCTCAATGCACTTGCCATACTCACAATTCTGCAAATAACCAGCAATCAAGATGCTCCAAGAGATCATATCCTTACAAGACATGGTGCAAAATATATGCCAAGCTTCACCTGTGTCTCCAAATTTACAGTACATATCCATGAGACCGTTGGAAACAAACGAATCGCAGTAAAAACCACTCCTCACGGCACAGCCATGGAGGGCCATTCCGGCTTTCTTGGCTTCAAATCTACCACATGCTGGTAGAAGAGCAGACACTGTCATGGAATCAGGCCGTACCCCTTCAACTCTCATCCTTCTGTATAAACTAAGTGCTTCAAGCCATTCCCCGTTCTGTACTGTACCAGATATCACAGCAGTCCACGAGGCCAAGTCTCTCTCTGTCTGAGGCATATCATCGAAAACCATCCGTGCTGCATCCAAGCTTCCACATTTGGTAAGCATGTCAATAAGGGCACATTTCGTGTAAGTATTGGGTTTAAAATTGTGGTGAGCCTCATTGAAACGAATCAACTCGATCACCTTCCTCCCTTGTTCAAGATCAGCTAATCGTGAACAGGCCTTTAAGATAAGCGGGCAAGTGTAATTGTCCGGGACAAAGCCTAGTTTGACTACCAAGTGATTGAAGAAGAAATGAATTGCACGAGCAAACTGTCCTGAGTCAATGTAGCCCCTGAGTATGGCATTACAAGCGATAGTCTCGTAGCGAGGGAGTCTATGGAAGACGAAAAGGGCTTCCTCCTGACAGCGAAATTCGACATAGACGTGCACCAGTCGGGAGCACAAGTGTGAGAGTGGGCTGTTTGGCTTGAAGAAACCAGCAACCAGCAGGAGAGCATGTAATCTTTTGGCTTCAGACAGATGGGATGGTGACTTGTTCAGGAGATATTCACTGAGTTGCAGAGCCAGCAGTGAGGATGAGGAATGGAATCCACAAATTGTGTGAAGAACCAACAGATTTGTTGTTGGAAGATTGTGAATATGCTGTTTCCAAATAGTTCTGAGTCCCGAGCTGGTAATGAGCCGCATGGGAATGGTATTGCATGTTCACAGAGGCAAGACCTTCCTCTCCAACAATCATCAGCGCCTCATGAACATCCAAAACCTTCAATCCAACTTTAGCCCTTGTTTGAGCCCCATTTTTATTTCATTAAAATGAAAAATATGAACGTTATCCATCACTTCAAACCATCATTTTTGAATTTCTATCTCTGGTGTGGGGCCATAACGGCTCTATTTCTTATTCTCATTCTCATTATAATGTGACTCAAACGGACTCTAAATGAATGGTCACTGAACTTTGACATATCCTACTTAATAACGAACTAAAAAATGTATCTCAGTGATTACTAAATTTCATCAAGTATTATTACTTGATAACTGAACTTAAAAATGTATCTCAATAATCATCGAACTCTGCACCGTGTTACTCATCCATCACTCATCCATCACTCAACTGGAAAAATCCGTTAACTTCAACAAATGGCGTTAACTTGAGTGATGAATAGGTAACACGGTACATAGTTTGGTAGCCATTGAGATACATCTTTGAGTTTAATTATGAAGTAGTAACACTTGATGAAGTTTAGTGATCATTGAAATGCATTTTTAAATTCGGTTATTAAGTGGTAAATTTTTTTCCTCATTTCAACTTTTGTGAAAGAAGAAACTAAAGCAAATGAAGGGAACAAAGTTCTATTTCTATTAAATATATAGTCTCAATCACGATAAGAAGCACGTTTGATTTTTAAATCAATTGGTATCAGTTCATCGTATCTCGAATTTCGCATAAAAAGATTGAAAGAGAAACAGTAGAAACACTTAAAAAAAATGATAGAGAAAAAAAAAATACAAAAATGTTCGAATTAGTGCCAATGTAACTGAGGTCGATTTGATTTTTCAACTTTTTTCCCTTCATTTTCTTTAGTTTCTTCTTTCGCAGAAGTCGATTTAAGGAAAAAAGGAAATTGTTACTACTTAATAACCGAATTTTAAAAAATATATTTCAATAGTTGCTGAACTTTGCTAAGTGTTACTACTTTATAACTAAACTAAAAAATATATCTCAATAGTCACTGAATTATGCACTGTGTTATTAATCCATCATTCAAGCCAATGTCGTTTGTTGAGCTTAACGGATTTTTTCATTTGAGTGATGGACGGTAACACGGTCCATAGTGCATTGACCATTGAGATACATTTTTAAGTTCAGTTATTAAATAATAACATATGGTAAAGTTTGGTAATCATTCATGTAATTATACGCTAGACAAAATGTAATAGTAAAAGGAAATTGGCGCCAATGGTCCAAACCTTTGTCCCATCTTGCTGTATTGGTCTAAATTTTCAATTTTGGTACAAATGATCCCAAACATTTGCATTCTTGGCATAATTGGTCCTTTTCAATGAATTTTGTCCCAAAAAACAATAAGTCTATCTCACGCTACACTTCTTGTTTAGGGTAAATTGCATATGTTGTTCAAAAATCGATAAAAGTAGCGATCATATCGCTAACCAATTTTTTTTATTTTTTTATTTTTTGGGCCAAAACTTTAGGAGATTAAAAATAAGTTTATCTTATTAATCTCCAATATCTTAAAAGAGGCAATTTATCATTTACTGTTCATTTATGATGCATTTCTTTATTTTCCATTTTACCCTTAAATTTTTGGCAAACAAATTCTCAAATTCAGCGTCCAATGGTCTTTTATATATAATAAAAAATATCTTTGCAAATACATAGCCAAGTTGACTAGGAAATGGGATTTGACAAATAAAGTTTTGTGTCTCTGTTTCTCACTGTACTTTTGTATTTCACTCATACTCCAATATCGGGATATGTTTCTAGGTTTATGTGTGTTTGTTAATATTTTGAAATTTTAAAATGGTCCAACATTTCCCTTAATTACAGGATATTAACCACTTTCTTTTAACTACCCACTTCCCAATCTTGTGATAACCATTCACTTTAATTAACTTCTTTGATGGGAAGAAGTTTATAAAAGGAGGTAGTGGTATTGGTCCCCAAGTCTTGACTCTTTTACGTAAATACACCATCTCTGAAAGTCTTTGAAGATTTGGAAGCACCAAATACAATCTGAAATTCTACAGTTTAAATATCAATGGCTGGAGGTTAGTTCCTGTTCTTCATTTTCAGCAATTTTTTTATATGTTATTTATTTACCTACACATGATACATCAAAATAAAGACTAACAGTTGGTATCAGAGCCATTATATACCTCTGCCTTGATGAGTTTGGAAATTTGAGTCTTTTCTTTTTTTCCTTTGCATGGATAATTCATATTACATGGACAATTTGCAACATGTTTCCTATTTCAAAAAAAGGCATGATTTCTTAAGGCACAAGGTACAAAGGTGGATTTTCCAGGAAACGTTTTGATTAAACAAAAGTTGGATCCT